CGGTGGTGCTGGTGTGGTGAATATCAATCCTAGTGGTGGCGTCCACGTCGCTGCCCCCGGAGGTGCTACCGGTGGTGCTGGTGTGGTGAATATCACTCCTAGTGGTGGCGTCCACGTCGCTCCTCCCCCCGGAGGTGCTAACGGTGGTGCTGGTGCCGTGCATGTCAATCCTGGGAATATCCATTTTGGGAACGGAGGACATATGCCTTCGCCTGTTCATGGAGGCACTATTGGAGGCGCTTTTGGAGGTGCTTTTCGTTAAGAAATTTACCACGCATGTTGATGAAGAGATGAACCCATAGAAGATGATATAGGAACCACAACTAGTACTAGATCAGCTTGCGCTTCTATCGCAGCATTTCTTCTACCAAGATTGCTGCTATTACTATTTCACTGCCACATTTTTATATCGGCCCGACACGACGACGCCGTCGTGAGTGGGATGCTTTGCAAATCGTTAGAAGATTTCAGAACTTTTTGGCTTAGACGAAACCAACTCCAGACTCAAGTACTGCATCTAAATAATTCTTTCAGGGTCTATTTTGATTTTCGAGAGTGTTTTCAAAAGTTGTACTGTTGTGTCTTGCGACGTGTATGATTTTATTTTAGACAGCAGCAAATCAGTGCTATGCCTGTCTGTGCCTCTTCATTCTAATAGGTGCAGGAAAATCAGGATATCACAGGGGCCGCGGGCGGTTCCGCTCCAATGAATCAGAAGCAGTACATGTACAGCTAAGTAAGTGATATCTCCAGGCCGGGACAAAACCAACATGATGAAAAGGAGGACTGTGATGCACTTGATTTAAGTACTAGAATCGCAATCGAAAGGAAAGACGTAGTTTGTGCCCAAGACAGCGAAGAGCGCGTTCTTCATGTTTGTGCGTTATGTAACATGGTTGAATGCGCCTCATAGCTACCGCAGCCACCGATTATGTATCTGTATACCGTTCTGAAAGGAGAGATTATTTACAACTGTTTTGGATGTATGATGATCTTATTGTTGCAACTGTTTTGGATGTATTGCAGCTGTATGATGTATGGATGATCTTATTTTATTTGAAACATTGCTGTGCACTTAAATCTTTTCTAAGTGTTGGACAAGAAGTAACGCTATCGGCCGGGGAGACTAAGTCAGCCGATGATTATTGTGATGCTTCGCTACAAAGTCGCACCCTGCGGTGAGACGTTTTGAGCAAGCTCTCAGCTTTGGACAACAAACATCCCTGCAGTAGGGATTTCGTGGTGGTGGTCTACGAGAAAACAATCTCGAAGTACGATGTTTCTGATTTTGGTGAATGCGAAGGAGTGTTGTATACATGGCATAGACAGTTCAGCAGGACCCTATTGTTTTGAAGAAGAGGAAAGAACATCATGAAAAGAATTTGTACTCACTACATCCTATTAGTTGCACTTGAATCCAAATTAGCAGTTTCCCTGCCCGGAATGACGCTGGAGGCAAGCGTGTTCAAGTTCTTATCGGTTTGTATGCGGAAACAGTCTTAATGCCAGCACTAAACAGGAGAATAGATCTTGATCTTGCTGCGCAAGGTCCTCCAAGAACACGACCGATCACAATTGGTCCGCTTCCGGGATCAAAACCTACCGCTTTGCAAGAATAAACGAGTGAAAAACAACGATCACTGCAATTCCACGCACTGTTTTTTTTTCCTACCGGTGTGAATGTGATTTTAGTTTTTACAGGAATTGATGGAAAAGTGCTGTTGCTGCTAGTTAGTTTTGTTGTACAATATGTTTTATTGATTTTTTTCTTTATCTACTTTCTACGTGAGTCTGTATTAGAGAAGCCATCCTGTTCCTCTGCGTCGAGAAACAAGAAGCTGCTACGATAAACCGATTTTTCATATTTGTGTTTTGAGTGTGTAGAAGGTCTAGTTTTATTGGAATATTAGAGCTAATAAAGAACAATCCAAGGCTTCGAGTCGAATGGATTTTGCACTGAGTTTGTGTCTACGTGATTGGTACTACCACGCAGAATCTACTTCACAGAGCAAGTACAATTATGACGCGTAGAGACCTCACAGTCACCGCGCCGCACCGTCTCCAGGAGGGACGCAGCGGGTATGGTGTGGCTGCGGCGGGTGAAGAGGGCGAGAGGGCCTTGACAGGGCAGCAGGAATTTGAACCCGAAAATAGAAGCTCAACGGAAGCCAAGAATGGAAATTGCTGGTCCAAAAATAGACCGCTTATCATCAGCCTGATCGTGATTGCCGCAGGCCTCGTTATCGGTGCTGTTGTCGCGGTTTTCTTTATGTTTCTACGTCTACTTGAGTCTGTTATTAGAGAAGCCCTCCTGTTCCTTTGCGTCGAAAAATATTTACAGAAACTGCTACGATAAACCGATATTTCATATTTATGCTTTGTGTGTGTAGAAGAAGGTCTAGCTTTGACTTGCAGCTGGTCGACACAAGTTCCACCAGGAATAACTTAGTAGCTTACCTCTTTTCACGAAACAAAATCAACCTTTCTCGCAGATATAGACTTCACTTTTTCAGAAACAACAGCTCCTACGTTGAAGAAACTTTTACTTTTTCAACAACTTCGAGTTTTTAGTAACTTTCGAAAAGCCTCTCTCTAGTGACGAAAAATAGCTCTCCTGTATCTTTTTCTCAGGCTTACGAGGCCAAAGCTGTAGCCACCTAGTATTTTTCTTGAACTAACAGTAGCATCGTGAGAGGAAGGTAAAACCTTCACACGGAAACCACGACTCCAGCACTAACAAACGAACAAACAAACAAACAAGCTCTAGTTTTGGAATAGAGCTAAGAAAGAATCCAAGGCTTCGAGTCGAACAGATTTTACACTGAGTTTGTGTCTACGTGATAGATTGGCACTACCCCGCAGAAGCTAATTTCACAGAGCAATTACAATTACGACACGTAGAGACCTCACAGTAGCCGCGCCGTACCGTCACCAGGAGGGACGCAGCGGGTGTGGTTTTGTACCCAAGAAGTACAGCATGCTTTGCTAAACGAGGTGGGTTTTGTACCCAAGAAGCACAAGGTGGTCTGGATGACCTACTTATAGATAGTACGATGTGTCTGATTTTGGTGAATGCGAAGGAGTGTTGTATACATGGCATAGACAGTTCAGCAGGACCCTATTGTTTTGACGAAGAGGAAAGAACATCGTGAAAAGAATTTGTACTCACATCCTATTAGTTACACTTCGATCCACTGCCCGGAACGACGCTGGAGGCAAGCGTGTTCAAGCTCTTATCGATTTGTATGCGAAAACAGTCTTAATGCCAACACTAAACAGGAGAGTAGATCTCCTCCAAGTAGAACACGACCCTCCGGGGCTGCTCCTCCAAGAACACGACCCTCCGGCCAAATCAGCACAGGCCAGGGTGAAGTACAGAACAAAACCGAGACAGGCTCGGGCTCGGGTTTTCGCGATAAAATAAAATTGCTGGTCGAGATCAAGAAACAGAGTGGTCGGATCAAGATATAATAATGATCGCGGCACCAGGAGAGACAACGCTAAATAAGCGGGCCTGAAAGTATTGCCTCTCCTGGTGTGAGCATTTGTCGATCGAAACGCTGCAAGATCAAGAGAGAGGGAAGTAAATAGAGAATGATCATGAAGAACAAGTGCACGACGCATGGATCAAGAACAAAAGCGAAGATCGTGAGATCACAATCCTTCCACTTGCGAAATGAAGATCTACCGCTCTGCAATAAACGAGTAAAAAACAATCACTGCAATCAATCTCACGCACTATATTTTTTTTCTGGTGTGAATGTGATCTTACAGAAACTTTTGGAAAAGTGCTGTTGCTGCTAGTTTTGTACAATATTCTTCTCTTTCGACAGAATTATCTATATTGAACTGTTATTAGAGAAGCAATCCTGTTCCTCAGCGTCAAGAAATATTCAAAGAAGCTACTACGATAAACCGATTTTTCATATTTTTGTTTTGAGTGTGTACTTAAGTAAGTCTACGTCTAGTTTTGGAATAGAGCTAATAAAGAACCCAAGGCTTCTTCGAGTCAAACAGATTTTGCACTGAATTTGTGTCTACGTGATTGGTACTTCTACCCAGCAGAATCTTCAGAGAGCAACTACAATTATGACGCGTAGAGACCGCACAGTGCCCGCACCGTACCGTCACCAGGAGGGACGCAACGGGTATGCGGCTGCGGCGGGTGAGCACGAGAGAGCCTTGACAGGGCAGCACGAATTTCACCCCGAACATAGAAGCTCCACGGAAGCCAATGATAGAAATTGCTGCTCCAAAAATAAACCGCTTATCATCACCCTGATCGTGATTGCCGCAGTCCTCGTTATTGGTGCTGTTGTCGCGGTTGTGGTTGTTGTGGCGAACAACAACAAAAACTCGCCCGGCAATGAGACTCACAACCCGGCACCAGCTCACGA